TCAACGATGACAGGTGGTGTTTGCTGAGCAGGTGCTGCAGGTCAGCGTGATGGTAGGTCCTTCTCATGCATAAAGCTCCCCACCTATCGGAGAGGTTAAAGGGCTCAGCAGGCGAGTCAGGCCGAGTGACTCAGGAGTCCCAGGTGACCGGAGCGTGACAAGGGTGGGCACTGGCTCCTGGGGCTGCGGGCAGCTCAGTTTGGGTTGAGACAGGTTCATGGCAACCCCAAACCCATGAGGCCTTTCCTGGGCCCCCCCTTGGGCAGGGGAGAGACTTGAGGTTCAGCAGGACCCCCCCCCTCCCCAAGAAGCCCCTTAAGCAAAGAAAAGGAAGCCCTGAGCTGGGGCGGAGCCGGGATGCCTGGGGTTTGCAATCCTCAGCACTTCCTTCCCCTGATGAATTATTCACGTCCGTGGCCAGGGGGCAGATCAATAATGCAGGAGGCAGAACCCGGCACAGCACAGCCCAGCTTCCAGCTGACCAGCTCTGCTCCCAGCCCCAGGGAGGCACTCTCCGTGGGCCTCTGTGCCCGGCCTCCGAAAGCCACCTGTCCTCAGGGCTCCAGGCTGCACTCATGCCCAGGAAGGGGGCCTCTGAACAATGTCAGCGCCTCCTCTGCCTGAAGGGACTCATTTGGTCATGGGCACAAAGGAATTGTGCTCCTGGGCCGACCCTGAGCGCAGAATTCCTGCCGCAGGACAAGAGAGCCAGACACGTTCCAGCTGCGCCAGGCCCCTCCGCTCTTCCTCCCAGGCCTCGGGTCTGGCGGGTGGGGACCCAGGAGACCAGGGGTGATAATTTGGGCTGTGAGTAGAAGTTTCCACCCAAGCAGCTCTAAGACACCTGCTTGACTTCTCTCCATCGCTGAGCCGGTTCCAGCAGGTCCACAGCGGGGGCCGGAGGCTGGGAGGAGGGAAGGGTCCGGGTTCCTTGGGAATTGTGCTTTGGGGGGGTGCGCGCGCGCGCGCGCACACACACACACAGGCTGCAGCCACGCTGGCAAACACTTGGGGAGTAGGAGGCAGACCTTTCCTGCTATGAGAGCCCCTGAACGGTGGGGTGTCTCTCTCTCCTTCTCTTTGCTTCTCAGTACTGCCTAGGTTGTCTCTGTTTGTTACAATAGACCAGGCAGTAAGTAAGAAAGAAAGGAAAGTAGGGATTTTTAGAGGGGGATCCAAGGCCCCCTGGAGAAGGTGTGCGAAGGTGAGCCGAGCTGTGGTGAGCTGGCCCCTGGGCTCCAGGCCTGGCCGGGAGCGGCCAGCTTTAAAGCGCAGTGAACGCCCTGAGCATCGTGGTAAAGGGCAGACACTCCGAGTCATTGCATTAGGTCAGGGTGTGGCCTGAGTTTCTGCATTTCTGACAGCTCCCGTGATGCCCACGCTAATGGCCCAGGGATCACACTTTGAGTAGCAAGACTGTGAGTCTAGGCCAGTGGTCGGCAAACTCATTAGTCAACAGAGCCAAATATCAACAGTACGATTGAAATTTCTTTTGAGAGCCAAATTTTTTAAACTTAAACTATATAGGTAGGTACATTGTTATTAACTTAATTAGGGTACTCCTAAGGCTTAGGAAGAGCCACACTCAAGGGGCCAAAGAGCCCCATGTGGCTCGTGAGCCGCATTTTGCCGACCACGGGACTCTAGCCCAGTGGCTCCCAACCTCAAATGACCATTGCGATCACCTGGAAAGCTTTTTAAAAACCCCGTGCTCAGGCCACGCCCAGATCACGAAAACCAGATTCTGCAGGCCTGGCGGCCAGGTGTCAGCATTTTCCAGAGTCCCCAGGTGATCCCCGTGTGCAGCCGGGACTGAGGCCTCTAGGCCCGCTCAGCTCACGCCTCTGCCTCACTCCTTAGACTGAGGCCCAGAGGAAGGCTGGGGCTGCCCGAGGCGACGCAGCCAGTGAGCCGAAGGCGTGGGCCTGGGCCAGGGCGCTCCTTGTCTTCTCTCAAGCATCGGGCAGCGGGAAGTGGCAAGTAGGGCTGGGAAGCGGGCAGCAGGGACTCAGGCTCAGGGTCATCTGCAGGACCCCGAACCTCCCAGACTCTGGGGTCCTCTCCAGGCTGTGCCCCAGGAAGTTGTTATTCCTGTCCCCCAGGTGTCCCCAGCCCGCACGGGTCACCAGGAAGCAGCCCCGTGGGCGTGCGGAGCAGATTATCACCCGTTTGCAGTGGGGTCAGGGTTCAGAGCGTACAGGCTGTGTGTCCGGGCGCAGCCTCTGTCATTTGAAACCTCCTGGATGGTGGAAGCTACAGCTTTTCCCTGACTGATTCTAAGATACATATATCTCCTTCCCCCCGTTTTAAAGTTTCTAGAAGTGGGTGTCTGACAAATGTTGCCAAAAGACATTGAGGCCACCACGCAGGACACTGGGTGCTGTGACGTTCCTGGCGTCGCCCGGGTGCAGAAGGTGCAGGGAACCGACTGGCATTAAATTGGTAGCTTCACACGGTGACGGTTCCTGTTCATCCAGACCCCCCCGCCCCCGCCCCCCAGGTGGTGCTCTGAGCGCCTCCCAAAAGGTCCCACTGCAGCACCCAAGCAAAGAGCTGCAGAGAAACGCGACTCCCAGTGCCGGGTGGGCGGTGGAAGGACATCCAAACGGCCAGCTCGCTTGGCACAGCTCACAGCTTTTCAAGGCTGGGAGGCTCCTGCCACCAGGGCAGCCGAGGGCTGTCGGCTTCACCATCCTGCCCGTGTGGCCTGGGGCAAGTCACGGGGCCTCCAACCTTCACTTCCCACGACAACGGGAGCACACATGAGGTGTCATAAGGATCAAATGAGAGAATTTACACACAAAAACTGCAGAGCCCAGCTCCCGGCACATGGGAGGTGCTCCCCTGGCCCCAATGCAGTTGAAAGGAATTTCCCAAGGGGATGGACAGGCAGGACTTGAACCCACTCCCACCCCTGCTCCACTCTGCTCCGCCGTCTCTGGGTCCTGCGACTCTCCCTCCATCCCTGCCCCACCCCAGCCTATGCCCTTCCCTCCTCCTTCCCCCATCCTGGTGCCCTCAGTCCCATGTGGCAATTCCCCCCTTCCCCCTGCCCAGCCCAGGCTCTGCCCACACCCACCTCCCAC